ATATATATATATTACTATTTATATTATTATTAATTTGGAGAAAACACTGTCTTTGTCTCATCGAAATAGCAATTTTTAAAAATAAAATAGATAAAAAGATTTTTATAGGTGGCACAAACAGTGGTTTATTCAAATACACAGTTTTTTGGTACATTATATTTAGACATATTATTTTGAAGCATTGTTTTACTCCTACTAGTGGACATTTTAAAAATAGCTAAATGTTCTTTACAAAGATAATGACCACCAATTATTCTATGCATCTAGTTGATTTTATGAATGCTCATCTTACAAGTATCATCTTCAAACTTTGTGTCTTTTGTAGCCCTGATGAAGGGGGATTGTTGGGCCCCCAAAACACATTGGCTGCTTTTTGTCTAGCAACATTTGTGGAATTACGAACTCTTATCTGGTGTTCTCTTTGAGGGAAATTCATCATAACCTCTCAAACTTCCAAATGGAGGGGGCCCCGTTTACTGGAGAGCTGCTGAACATACGCTATTTGGCTAGACTGTGGAATTTTGCTTGTATTCGCTGAAGACCTCACTTTCACCACCCCCTAGTGTATTTTTTGATGGTTGTTCTAACTTGGAGCGTACAAGCCACTGGGACTCTGTGTAACTGAGTTGTGGACCAGTTAAAGTCTAATATTTTTACAGAGTTTGGACCAAAAGTGTGCAAAGCGTATAGAGACTGTGAATTGCAGTAATGTACATGAACAAGTGTGACTCAAATGTGGAAATTATAGCGCCACATGTTTTTGGATCTTAAAATAAACTATAGTCAGTCACCTGGGATTGGCCTCCGTGGCAGAGATTGTGGTGTCAGACTTGTATTAGTGGTGGTCATTCAGCTAGTTTAACTGCCTACTCTAGAATTGCATTAAAATCTCTCACAGATATTATGAACAACCCTTCGAATTGAACTTTTCCAGTTTTAAGTAGTTCATCCCTGCAGTAGTTGGACATGCAGCAGTCAGAAAAGCACACACTCCCTGTTGACTGTATAGCCCTAGCTGTGCCAAATGGAGAGTACCGCCAGTGCAGCAAGACATGTGCACAGCTGTATGGCTCTTCAGCCACTGCCCACCCACAGGAATTGTAGAGCAGCAGTAGGTTATTTCAATATCTAAAAAGGTAAGCACAGATAGCCTATGTACTTATAGAACCCTGAACATTTTTTGGAGGGTACAACTGAGCCTTAACCCTCTGATTACCAGAATTTCTTTACAGTTTAGTTGCCTAGACCAAGTTCAGCAGCATCAGCTATGTGTCGGTTCATGTAAGAAAACCTTCCATTTCACATCGGGCTGTAGAACTAAAAACACACAGCTGTGCATTCCTAGTTCTCTGCTACAAGGTTTATTTATGTGCTCAAGGCAGGGGTAATTGTTTAAGTGGACTAATCAAGATTTATTGTGGACTCAGAGTGGGTTTAGGGCAAGGTTTAAAGTGTATTTCCACTTTTGCAGTCATATTTGAGAAAACCCCACTATATGCGTGTTATGCGATAATATTCACACAGCCTAAAAAAAATAATTGAAAAAAATATTTTTTACCTTTAAGAAGGTAAAGAGGGCCGAATCCAAGTTTTTCTCAGCACCTACATGGTGATCTGTCCTAATGGAAAGGCTTAGGACTGAAATTTGAGGATTGTGTTTCTCTCATCCACTTAATTAACATACAATGGACAAACCATCTCGGACCCCTCACAGCCTCTCCTAACATTGCAAAGAAGGAGCAGCAAGTAGAAATGTTGACCCTTAAAAACCCTAACCCAAGTAAAAGCAGTTTATACTGCAAGAAGCAAATTACATTTTTTTTTAGCTTATTCTATGCGAATGGAAACATGTAACAAATATAAAATAGGTGTTATCCCAATATGGCTGCAAACGTGGAAATACACTTTAAAGTTAGGTTAAAGTTAAGTGCTGGGTTAAGTGTTAAGTTTCAGTAATAGATTAATAGTTGTCTGTTAAAAGCAGAATCTTACATTTTAAATAAGAAAAAGAAAAACCTTGACCCCCCAAAAAAACAGCCCTTGCTGTAATACTTACTTTCGAACAAATGATGCCCCTGCAAAAATTTCCTGTAGGTTCTGCATGCAAAATATAGAAGCTTTTGGCTTCTGTTAAAAATGGCACCTACAGGGCACATCTCTGCGTTATTTCAAAGATCAGTCTGTGTGTGCTTAGAGTGGTGGTTTTATTTGTGTTTTTTTATGGCAATACACAGTCAAACACACATACGAACCTACCTGTGTACCTTAATTATAATGAATTGTTATAGCTTAAATACATTATTAAAATATACTTTAAAAATCACAAAAAGCGACACAGTTAATTGTTCTAGTTTTTTTAAATGTAAGTTCCTGTGTGATTTTGATTACTACAACGGTTGTGGCTTTCTAATATGTATATGTCAGGTGTTTTGCCTAATGCCGTGTGGTTTATTTGTGGTTTTGCTGAGTATGAAAACCATTTTGAAGTTCATTAGAAAAACAAAATTTCAAAAAAAGTTTCTCCTAAGGGCTGGGACAGTCACTTATACAGCAAAGTGCAACACATATTTAGTTATTGAGCTAGAACATATATTGATGAAGATATTCAGCATGCTGGTTTATACCATACTTCTGTGTGCTGTCTGCATAGGTAAGTACACCAAGCCATAATCATTATACCATGTTTCTTGTTATGATACAATATTAACTGGTGTATGTTCAGTTTCTTGCCAGGATTTGAAGTCTCTTATACGCCCAACAGGGAGGACAGCAAAGTTCACATGTGGAGTTGATGGGGTTTATATAATAAATCAAGGTCTCCACTGGTATCTTCAGGACAGCAGCAATAATATAAAATGGTTACTGTTTTATAAGCCTGGGAAGACTGAAGCATTGGATGACTATAAGAAACGAATATCCTTGGAAATATACTCAGACAGTTCTTGCATCTTGAGCATCACAAATATTAAGCCTACAGATGAAGGCACGTATTTCTGTGCAGCATGGCACAGCCACACTTTGCTGCAACTACATAAGGGATTTATACAGTATCCTCTTAGCAAGCCTCTAATTTGCCTTGTGAGAATATTACACCAGACTGTCATATATAATAAAAATCTAATAGTCATGAAGAGTCAAAGGGATGTTCATGTGCCTTTAGTAGCCTGTTGCAATAAAAGTTTGAGTTGGAAGACATTGCATTTCCATACACAAGGTACTGATATCCGGATGAATTATTTAATGTCGTTTTGAAGGTAAAAACCTACACAAGTCCATATAAAGTGGTAACTGTAGAAGATAGTTTGTTGATGTTTGATTCCCTGGAAAAATGGCCTTGGCACAATACTTCCAGTATTAAGCTACCTTAACTTTCTCTCCCATGACTAACTATAATAGTGTATTACATTAAGATTGCCCTGCTTCAGTGCCCCATTACCCTGTCTCTGAACTAGATAAGCTGTTCACCGCTGACAATAGCTTCATATGCAACAGTGCCTCCTGTGCCTGTGCCCCAAGGAGTGTGATTGTTCAGAGTTAGCTTTGCAAGTGCAAACCCTTCTTGAGTGATGACCACTTGTCATGCTACTCTTCAAAAGGAACACCTCAGTGGCCAAAAAATGTTCTCATTGAAAAGAAAAGAGAAAACGGGTGGCTGTGACTAAGCTCAAGGATAAGAATTGGGCGCCATTGTTTTAAAAGTTAGGTCGTTAGTAACAAAGTCAAACCAGAAGCAGGGGGTCACAGGGAAGCGGTATTTAGGCTTAACAAGGGTGATAAAGGATAGCAAAAAAATGTAATAACTACAGTAAATACACTTTGTAAAGTTATACAATGGAAATCGGAATTGGAGCTACCATAATTTTAAAGCAACATTGTGGGTGGGATAAAAAATGTTCTGTAAAGGAATAAACTTCATACTTATCTGGTCCAGTGCTTATTCATTGAAACTTACCTCCACTTCAAAATTATGCTGCTCCAAAGGATCTTCACATTCGACACACTGCTGGGTGTGTCAGAGGCCTGGGTCTCCATCGTGCATTGTGGTTTCACCTGCTGACCCTTTGTTCCTAGTTAGTTGTATATTAATGTAAAGGTGGAACCATGGAGTGTGGCAGAGGACATAGGCATCCAACACACCCATACACCTGACTATAACACCTACACTATAAAACAAACATGTGTGCATACCCCTCTAAATTATTAAGTTAATGTGCTTCCTTGTGAAGGGTAATTTTAATGCTACAGCATGCAAAGCCATTTTATTGTGCACTTCCACTATTGTGGCAACAGTTTGGGGAAGGCCTTTTTTCTGTTCCAGCATGACTGTGCCCCTGTGTACAAAGCCAGGTCAATAAAGACATATGGGGTCACTTCACTAAAAGTTAAACACCGCATGCCATTTTGAGGGGAAAAAATGTATGAGTTTTACTGAATGAGATATTGCTTTAAAACCTACGGTATTTATTTAATAATTTAGGCTTGTTTTTACTTAGTTACCTAGTTAGTCAGGTTTAAACAAGGCACAAGTCCATTGGGTTCAACCTAAAGAGATAACAGAAAAAAAAAAAAGAAGGAGAAAAACCTAAAACAGAACGCTATGCCCACAGTCACCCACTGTTGATCCAGAGGAAGGCAAGGAAACCCCTATAAAGCGGGGTTTAATTTGCTCCAACAGGGGTAAATGATTCCTTCCTGATCCCATTAGGCAATTCCCTGGATCTACAATTTCTGGTGCCTAATATACCTATAAGAACTCAATATCCAGTAATATTCTGTGCATTTAGGAATACATCCATATGTTTTTTTAAACTAGCTCCTGGGGGAGTCTATTCCACATTTTCACAGCTCTAACTGTGAAGAATCCTTTCCGTATACAAAGGTTAAACCTCTTTTCCTCTAGACGCAAAGAGTGCCCCCTTGTCCTTTGCAGTGACCTTAAAGTGAATAATTTGGCACCAAGCTCACTATATGGACCACTTATGTATTTACACAAGGTGATCATATCCCCCCTTAATCGTCTCTTCTGCAGAGAGAACAAATTCAGGTCAGCTAATCTTTCCTCATAGCTGAGCTCCTCCATGTCTTTTATGAGTTTAGTCGCCCTTATCCGCACTTTCTACAGTTCCACATCCTTTTTGTGAACTGGTGCCCAAAACTGAACTGCATATTCCAGATGCATAACTTTACATTCATCAACATTAAACCTTCTTTGCCAAATAGATGCCCAATCACACAGTGCATTCAGATCTGCTTGTAAGTTGGAGACATGCTGTACGGGCTACACTATATTGGCAAAAATATTGGGACGCACACACACGCACATGAACTTTACTGGCATCCCAGTCTTTTTTTTAATCAGATATTATTTATTTGTTTTTTTCTTTCCATACATTGTGGACATGTACAATAAAACCACAGCCCAAAACAACTAACAGAACAAAAACAAGAAACGGACAAAAACAACAAAAAAACATCTATCTATCTTTATTCTATTTACTTTTGCGCATTTCTTCCCCCTTTTTCCCCTTCCTTTTCTTCCACTTATAATATTATATTTTGTCCTCTTGATCCAGGAGGTCTCAAGTCCAGTTAATATTCATATTTCCAATCCACCTATTCCAAATTCCCTGAAATTTACCTGACTGACCCCTCATCCTGTAAGTATGTTCTTCAAACCGAACATATTTACTAATCTCAGCTTTCCATTCTTCAATTGTAGGGAGATACCCTGAAGTCCATTTGACTGCTATTAATCTTCTAGCCAGAAACAATAGCCTTTTTATTGCTAAAGTGCTGTTATTATCTAGATAGTCAGAGTTGAAACCTCCTAGAATACATGTTAATGGGTTAATGTCCACTATATTTCCTTATATTCTATTTAAACATTCAATTACCCCTATCCAGTACCTTTTTAGTTTTGGACATCTCCATAATAAATTAATAAGTGTGCCTTCCTGATGCTTGCATATCGCACACTTTGGGTCTGTGCGGACCCCTATGTTATATAAAATCTCTGGGGTTCTGTACACCCTATGTATAATAAATAATTGAGTTAATCTATGTGATAAAGAAATAGACACATCTTGCACTCCTTGAAGTACTGCCCTCCATGTCTCCTCATCAATTATGCCTATATCCTCTGTCCAGCGCTCCCTGCATATCAATGGAAATTTTTTAAAAACAGTGATAAACCCGGGAAATTATCCCCTTAGACTTCTTAGCTTTAACTACCTGATCTATCAAGGGAGTTGGCGCAAAGCATGCTGCTGGAACCAAAGCTTGCGCACTCAACACATGTCTTAGTAGCAAATATGAAAAAACATTTTGTTCTCCAATCGGTATTCTACTCTTAGTTGGTCATATGTCTTAAGCACCCCCCCC